TTGCTAAATATATATAATTATTAAAATTTTAGTAATTTAGATTAAAAGAACTATTTAAATAAAAATTTAATATATATTTATTTTATCTAATATTTTATCTACTTTCATATTTTAATTTTTTTTCCATGATGACGTCATATTTCATTAGTAAAAGAATAAAAAAAAAAATTAGTTTTTTAAAAAACATAAATATTTGTGGGCTATATTTTACAATAATCCCTTCCATTAAATTCTACCTATGGCGCTTTACTTTCTTCTTCTTCTTCGTCTTCAACTGCCATGAAATTTGAGGTTTCTCTTCTTCATTTTTTTTGCAGTTGGGGTTTAAACGATTGAGATTTCATGGTTTTTCATATGGGTATGGAGCTGAAACGCCTCTTTCTCATTTTCTTCTTCTTCTTCGAGCTCTGTATTTTGGCCTCCAATGGCGTTTCTGACCACAATCAGATTCTTCTCGACAGAGAAAGCTTGCTTTCTTTCAAAGCATTGCTAGACACCTCAAAAACTCTGCCATGGAACTCATTGGTCCCTCACTGCTTTTGGGTCGGAGTTTCTTGCCGATTCCGTCGAGTTACAGAGCTCTCCCTTTCATCTCGTTCCCTCAAAGGCCGACTCTCTCCTTCCCTTTTCAATATCTCGAGCCTCTCTGTTCTTGACCTTTCAAACAATGGCCTCTATGGCTCAATCCCACCTCAGATATCCAATCTTCGGAGCTTGAAGGTGCTCGCTCTCGACGGAAATCAGTTTTCCGGCGACTTCCCCATCGGACTCACTGAGTTGACCCAGATGGAGAATCTCAAGTTGGGGAGTAATTTGTTTACAGGGATAATCCCGCCGGAGCTTGGAAATTTAAAGCAACTACGGACGCTTGACCTTTCCGGCAATGCCTTCGTCGGAAATGTTCCGACCCATATCGGAAATTTGACGAGAATCTTATCATTGGACCTTGGCAACAATCTTTTATCAGGTTCACTCCCATTAACCATCTTTACTGAGCTTAAATCCTTAACTTCTTTGGACATTTCCAACAACTCGTTTTCTGGTTCAATCCCACCTGAAATTGGTAATCTACAGCATTTGACTGACCTTTACATCGGCATTAACCACTTTTCCGGCGAGTTGCCGCCTGAATTTGGTGATCTTGTGTTGCTAGAGAACTTTTTCGCTCCTTCTTGTTCTTTAACTGGTCCATTGCCCGAAGAACTATCCAAGTTGAAATCATTGAGTAAACTGGACCTTTCATACAACCCACTTGACTGTTCTATCCCAAAATCGATTGGTGAGTTACAGAACTTGACCATATTGAATCTGGTTTACACTGACATTAATGGTTCCATTCCTGCTGAACTTGGAAACTGCAAAAACTTGAAAACATTGATGCTTTCATTCAACTCTCTATCTGGGATGTTGCCACAAGAGCTTTTAGAGCTTCCCATCTTGACATTTTCTGCAGAGAAGAATCAGCTTTCTGGGCCATTGCCTTCTTGGCTTGGCAAATGGGATCGTGTTGAATCTATCTTACTGTCGAGTAATCGGTTCACCGGGGAAATCCCACCTGAGATTGGGAATTGCTCAATGCTTAATCACCTCAGTTTGAGAAATAACATGTTAACAGGCTCAATACCTAAAGAGATTTGTAATGCTGCATCCTTGATGGAGATTGATCTTGATAGTAATTTCCTTTCGGGTTCGATCGACGACACGTTCGAGCTGTGTAGAAACCTTACACAGTTGGTTTTGGTAGACAATCTGATTGTTGGTACAATACCTGAGTACTTCTCAGACCTTCCCTTACTCGTAATCAACCTCGACTCGAATAATTTCACCGGTTCGTTACCAAGAAGTCTATGGAACTCGGTGAATTTGATGGAGTTTTCTGCTGCAAATAACCAATTGGAGGGTCATCTCCCTTCAGAGATTGGTTATGCAGCTTCACTTCAGAGGCTTGTTCTTAGCAACAATAGGTTGACAGGTACAATACCAAATGAGATTGGAAATCTCACAGCCCTTTCTGTTCTAAACTTGAATTCTAATCTGCTTGAAGGAACTATTCCAGCCATGCTTGGAGATTGTAAAGCTCTTACAACATTGGACCTCGGAAACAATGGTCTAAATGGGTCGATACCGGAAGGACTTGCAGAGCTTGCTGAATTACAGTGCCTTGTTCTTTCGCACAACGAGTTATCTGGAGCAATACCTTCCAGGACATCTACTTATTTTCAACAAGTGACTATTCCTGATTTGAGCTTTGTTCAACATCATGGTGTTTTTGATTTGTCCCATAATAGATTGTCCGGTAGCATACCTGATGAACTAGGGGAGTGTGTTGTCGTGGTGGATCTTTTACTGAACAATAATCTACTTTCTGGAGAGATTCCTAAATCTCTTTCTCACTTAACAAACCTGACAACCTTGGATTTGTCTGGCAATATGCTTTCTGGTCCTATTCCCGCAGAGCTTGGCGATGTTCTCAAGCTGCAAGGCCTGTATCTTGGGAATAATCGCCTCACCGGATTGATCCCGGTAAGCTTGAGTCGTTTGAGTAGCTTGGTGAAGTTGAACTTAACTGGTAATAGACTATCTGGTTCAGTTCCAGATCCTCTTGGTGATCTGAAAGCTTTAACTCATCTGGATCTAAGTTCTAATGAGTTGGATGGTGATCTTCCTTTGTCTCTGTCCAACGTGTTGAATCTTGTGGGGCTTTATGTACAAGAGAACAGGCTTTCTGGACAGATTGTAGAGCTTTTCCCAAGCTCATTTACATGGAAGATTGAAGCTTTGAATTTGAGTCGTAACGAGTTCGAGGGCGTTCTTCCACGAGCATTAGGCAACCTTTCATACTTGACAACTTTGGATCTTCATGGAAATAAGTTCACAGGGCCAATCCCTCCAGATCTTGGGGATCTTATGCAACTTGAGTACTTTGATGTTTCAAATAACAAGCTCTCAGGAGAGATTCCAGAGAAACTATGCAGCCTGTTCAATATGCTCTACCTGAATTTGGCGAAAAACAGTCTCGAAGGACCGATCCCGAAAAGCGGCATTTGCCAGAATCTATCCAAAAGTTCATTTGTTGGGAACAAGAATCTTTGTGGGAGAATCATGGGTTACAATTGCAAGATCAAAAGCATGGAAAGATCTGCAGTCTTGAATGCTTGGAGTGTTGCTGGGATTATCATTGTTAGTGTTCTTATTGTTTTTTCCGTGGCGTTTGCTATGCGAAAACAGATTATTCGAAGCCATAGAGATGATGATCCAGAGGACATGGAGGAAAGCAAACTAAACAGTTTGATGGATCCCAATCTCTATTTCTTAAGCAGCAGTAGATCGAAAGAGCCGTTAAGCATCAACGTGGCGATGTTCGAGCAGCCGCTTCTGAAGCTAACTTTGGTTGATATCCTTGAAGCAACCAATAACTTCTGTAAAACAAACATCATTGGAGATGGAGGATTTGGGACAGTGTACAAGGCCACCTTGCCTGATGGGAAAATTGTTGCTGTCAAGAAGCTAAGCCAAGCAAAAACACAGGGGCACAGGGAATTCATGGCTGAAATGGAAACCATAGGCAAAGTAAAGCATCATAATCTTGTTCCACTGCTTGGCTACTGCTCCCTTGGGGAGGAGAAGCTTCTTGTGTATGAGTATATGGTGAATGGTAGCTTGGATCTTTGGCTGCGAAACCGAACCAGTGCGCTTGAAGTTCTTAACTGGGAGACTCGGTTCAAAGTCGCTTCGGGCGCAGCGTGCGGATTGGCATTTCTTCACCATGGATTCATCCCCCACATCATTCATAGGGATGTTAAAGCAAGTAATATACTACTGAATGAAGAGTTTGAACCAAAAGTTGGTGACTTTGGATTGGCAAGGTTGATCAGTGCTTGTGAGACTCATGTGACAACTGAGATAGCTGGAACGTTTGGTTACATTCCGCCGGAGTACGGGCAGAGCGGGAGATCGACGGCGAAAGGAGACGTTTATAGCTTCGGAGTGATTCTGCTGGAACTGGTAACTGGGAAGGAACCAACAGGACCTGAGTTTAAGGAGATTGAAGGTGGGAATCTGGTTGGTTGGGTGTTTCAGAAGATCAAGAAGGGTCAGGCGGCGGAGGTTCTGGACGTGACGGTTTTGAATGCTGATTCCAAGCATATGATGCTTCAAACTCTAAAGATTGCTTGTGTTTGTCTGTCTGAAAATCCTGCTAACAGACCTTCCATGCTTCAGGTATTCAAGTTTCTTAAAGGGATCAAATTACAGTAAGAAAGATTTAGAGCTTCAGAATAACACTGTAAACAAGTATATTAGTAGGAGGATATGGTCAAATTTGTTCAGAGCTGTAATACATTTTATCTGCTAATCTAATCCAATCAATCACATCTTTGTCTTTGTCTGACAAATGTGTTCGTGAATAACTCAGCTCACTACTAGTAGATATTTTCCGCTTTGACCTATTCGTCAGTCTCATGATTTTAAAATGCATCTATTTGGGAGAGGATTTCACATTCTTATAAAAAGTGTTTTGTTCTTGTCTCCAACCTATGTGAGATTGTCGATGTGAGATCTCACAATTCACTCCCTTAGAGGCTCAGCGTATATGCTAACACAGTGTGTGTCTGATGTCTGACTTTGATATCATTTGTAATAACTCAAGCCCCCACCAATAGATAGTTCGTTACATATCGTCGTCAACTTAGGATTTTAAAACACATCTACTAGTAAAAATATTACGTTCCCCTCTACAAGCAATTGGATTATTACATATGGTTTCATTAGACAAACTTCATTAAATTGGTCAATTTAGTCAATTTTAATTGACTTGTTCATACCCGAGTTGGGTTGGAATCGAGCTAGAGGTTAATTTTTTAAATATTGTTGTATATACCTCAATTACGTCATTTGAAATAATTAATTAAAATTAGAAATAAAAAAATACACTAAAAAATTCTAATTACATAATTCAAGCTAATATGAAAAATGATTAATAAACAATGGGGGCGTAATAATAAAACTAAAAAATAAAATATTACTTCTTTCCTTTCAAAATACAAAAAATACACTTGATATTTAATTCAAATTTCCTTAATTTATCCCCTCAGCCTAAAAGGCTGCCACACGTGCCATCTTTCCCACATTTGAGGAATGATCCCCTGCACCACTGATTACTAGAACCTGAAAGTCGATACTTTAATCCTAGCCCTTTAATTACAGATATTTCACGATCCTCTCTCAGTGGACCTGATTATGCCACGTTTTCTCATTATCAACTTTCTGTTCACAAATTATCCGGTCTGATTTCACTTTCGGTCTCTCCGGTGGTTGAAGTCGCAGAGTAGTATCATCCTCCCTGTATTCTCTAGGCCGCTTTGATCCGATCTGATACGTCTCCGCTTCCGTGGCCTCTGCCGCTTCGTCTTCTTCGGAACGCCGCTTCACCGGGAAAAGATCCAGCGATTTTGCCGACGTTAAAACACTCTCTCTAACTTTGCAACTGCTTTTCACTTGGTTTTCGACGAAGCTCGACATCAAGGAAAAGATATTGTTGCACAGGGATTTCACCTCGGTTAATTGTTCCGTCAGCCGAACTTTCTCTTTTTTCAGCTTATCGTTCTCATCAATCAGCTCCGCAAGATCTTTCGACGGAGTTAGATTCGACGAAATCACTTGTTCTTCACCGGAAGAACTCCCCGTCAATAGATGCGCAGACGGAATCGCCGGAGCACCAACGGCTGTCAACACAACCGAGTTAGAAGCAGTGGTCAGCACCGGAGTGGTCAATTTCCTACGCTGAATCTCACATAGAAGCTGTTTCTTGCCCTTACGAAAGCACTCGTTCGCAAACTCCCACCGGTCCGATACAACCTTTCGAAATCCCTAAAACCAAAAAAAAAAAAAAAACCGAAATGAAACACATATCCACTACGCCTCAGAAGGAAACATCAATGAATAGAAATCCAGTAGAAGATCGATTACATAAGTATTGAGCTGGCGGAGGAAGCTAGTGAAGTTATTATGCTTGAAATGCTTGGGGAGCAAGTCTCTAGCAAAAGCCAAGGTGTTCCAAACGATGAAGGTAGAGCCATCGTCGTTCCACGAAATGACATGGTCGACCGTCTGGTCATCAACGAGCTGATACGTTTTGGACAAGAAAGGAGTGGGCACAGATCTCGGTGAATCGGCGCCAGCAGACGCCGATTTGGCGGTCGGCTCCTCCATGAGAGGAGGCACAAGAATCAAGGAAATCAGATCCCGGAAAGATCGTAGGCAAGTTCCAAACCCTAAAGAAAAGCTTCGAGATACGAATTAAAGCGGAAAGGTACAAAGCCCTTTTCCAGGAAAGACCATTGAATTTCAATTCTAGAAGCTTCGTGGTAGAAGTAGTAAGAGAAGTTCTTTTTTATATATACAAATTTGAGAAACTTCCCCGAAAGGCGTCCACGTAGGCGGCCACGTAGATTATTTTATTATGTTATTTATTTATTTATTTAAGAAATAAATAAATGGAAAAAGGAGTATAATTTAAAGGAGAGAAGGAAAGTAGTCCCAAAATGTCTGTATCCATATTCGCCCAAGTCAAAAAGTCTTTATTACATTTGACCCACAAAGTATGCCCATTTTGTGGAATCTTTGGCAACACAACTAGTCCCAAAATATCATCTTTCCCCACTTCATCAAAGACCAAGACACTTGTAATTGACACTCAACCAAATTTTCCAACCAAATGAGCAATGACACCGACGGCTCGGCACAACTTTAAAGACACGTATTAGGGCACCTCTTCTGAATCCTTATTACTCTCTTCACATTAGTTGGAGAGGAAAACGAAACATTTCTTATAAGAGTGAAATCCTATATCTAGTAGATGAGTTTTAAAACCACGAGGCTGACCATAGACAATAGTTGCTGTTAACAGTGGATTTTGAGCTGTTACAAATGATATCGAAACCAAGCACCAAGCAGTATGCCAGCGATGATGCAAGCCCCAAGGGGTGGATAGGAAGATCCCACATCAATCGGAGATGAGAACAATCTCACATTGATGGTAGAGGGAAACAAAACATTTCTTATAAGAGTGAAAATCTATCTATCTATAGAAGATGCATTTTAAAACCACAAGGGTGACAGTAGACAATAGCTACTAACAATGAATTTGAGCTGTTACAAATGATATCGAAACCAAGCACCAACCCAAGGGGTGGATGGTAAGATCTCACATCGATCAGAGATGATAACAATCTCACATTAATTGTAGAGAAAAACAAAGTATTTCTTATAAGGATGTAAAAACCTCTCACTAAATGCATTTTAAGATTATGAGGCTGACCGTAATCCATAACAAGCGGACCACGAGAATCTTCCCATTTTTCTAACGTTTTACCTTTTAAAAACTTCCTCTCTCTCTCTAATGGAAACCTCTGAAGTCACAATCCTATTCTTCAAATTCAAATTCCCAACACCAATGCCATCTTTTTCAGAAGGTAAAAGTCACAATTTCCCACTCAACTTCATGACTGATATTTTTTTCACTTCCCCAAGCCAAATGAAACCCTCAATTTTCTTTCTAAGAACACTATCCTCCTTGGAATATGAAACCCTCTTTGAAATTTTGAAAACTTTCCATTTCTCCAAGAAGCCCTCAATCTTGTTACTACTCTTCCATTTCTCAACGGAGCTGTTTTGGTTGGGCGTACTGATTTACATTCAATCTAGAGGCCATCTCAAACCACTTCAAACAGGTTATCGAACATATCATGTTCATACCAAGGATAAAAGAATCATATCAACAAAAAAATTGCAAATAAGTTATATGGATCTTCTCCCTTCCTACTCAAAAACTAAGACTGATATCAATATTAGACAGAGCCAGATCAATCAGAATCACGAGACCGGAATGAAACAGTTTGTTCGAAAGAAATACATACCTGAACTGGTAGAGATTGAAGATGAGACCACTGAGAAGTCATAAAGAAAATTAGGCACCATGACAGAAAAAACCCATCTAAACTTTGATCCGTCGACCAGCATCCGTTTATACAAAATGATTCATAGGATATTGTCATGTTTACAGCCAAATTGCTGTTCTAACAAAACTCTTACAGCAGTACAGACTCCATGGACCAAATTTCAGTGAGAATTTGGAATCACAAAGCCAAAAGAGAGAAGAAAAACAAACATATTCTGCATTTCAAGAAACATACAGCACACCACGACGATATAGCACGATGGTGACTGATGTATAAATAGACATAACAGAGACAATCCACCAAGCCATTAACAGAGGCACTTTTTTTATTAAGGGAGAGCAGGAAAGAATAAAACTAGCCAAGCTGGTGCCTTCCAAAGAGCTGATACTAATTTGAGATAACCCAAAGAAAAGCAAAACTAAGGCTGGTGGAGCAAAAAACTGCAAAGAAGCCACACATAAGTAGTGATTGTGCAGAAAAACCTTTGCTCTACTGAAATCCAATTCAGGAACTTTCCCAGCATGCAGTCTTTGATACCAAGATAACAGAGCTTCGTTCAGATACATTTGTAAGTTTTGCCTCACAGCAATGATTTGCAAGAAACCACACAGTGCCAAACACCAGAGCCTAAGCTTGGCAAAATCAGCCTTTGAGAATCCTATATTTCCGGCCAATCTGTCATCATTTTCGATTTCATTTAACATATGTTCAATTGCACTTCCGCCAATGTTCTTGTTAATGAAAATTTCAGCTAATGGTTTGATCCAAAGCAGAGTGGTGAAAAACAAGGTCACCTGACTGGCATACAAAATCATCCGAGAAAACCACCCACAATAAACCATTTCCAAGTTGCATCTAATTTGATCAGTTCCAAGCCAAAAACAGCGAGCGATTTTTGTTGCAGGTATAAACAAAAACCCCGAAAAGCAACCCATTAACATGGCAACGAAAAAGGTCCCCAAACCACTAATTTGATCAAGATCAAAATCCAATATAAAAGGGCTAAACGAAGAACAGGTTAGAAGTCCAAAAAGAAACCCACAAACTCCAAAAAGTAAGCTCAATTGCCTATCCAACGACCTAGACGCAGATTTCTCCAAAGCAACCTTACCGAGTGATACAAACAACTTACATCCAGCGAAGATGGCGAAAAGAAGAGGAACAAACATCCCATTTCCCCAAACTCCAGAATCTTCAGATGCACCCAAGAAAAATTGCAGCAGTAAACAAGAAATACCGACAAATGAAAAAGTGAATCCATCTCTGTATTCTTTGAAATAGATCCGCGTTTGGAGATGATTCTCATCCAGCTTTAACCTGAAGATCTGCGCCTTGCTTTCGTCAAACTCAACCTTCTCCTTATCCTTCGACTTTGTTCTTTTCCTGATCTCAGCGGCACCCGTTGACGACAAGTTTCGGTAGCCCTCTAGACCAGAACCGGAGTTAGAGCCGTCAGGTCTTCTAATCGCAGCTCGGACGCCACTGCTGGCGTTATCAGGGTGGATGTAGGTGAATATGCCATGAAGGAAGAGGGTTGGGATCTTGAAGAAGATGATGAAAAAGGAAAGCGATAGAGACAGTCCGACATGAAGAAGCAAATTCCTGTTTACTGAAAATTTTTGCAGCAACATAGCGGGAAGAAGTGGTTTCCTTCGAATCAAGTGCAAGAGCTTGGGTTGTTCAAGGTGATTTCAACGGTTCTTCGAGCTTCAGATCTCTGACGGGTCTCCGCGGTGTAAAAACGACAGGGCTCCAATCAAGTGCGGCGGTAATGAGCGGGATCGGCTCGACCCAAGGTCCAGTTTTTTTAGTATATTATATTTTTTTTTTTTTATCTTTTCACAAGTACCCCCTCAAAATATAAGGATTATCTCTCATGCCCCTCGAATAAAAATATTATTTTTTTTTTACCCCTTTTTTTTTACCCCTAAACTTATTTTGTATCAATTTTTATCAATGCAATTCGATACAGAACACACCGAGAGTTATTTTTCTTTTTGTAATTTCAAATAATTATGAGAAGGAATAAAAAAAATAACAACATGTTTTATTTGACCTTTTCGGTGATTATCAGCACAATAGTTTATGAAAATATAGTTCACTAACTTCGTAAAATTAGTATTTTATATATATATATATATATATATTTTTTTTTTTATCGTAGGTTGTTTCTAACCTAATTTCTGTGTGCATGAGTTATCGTGTGAAGTATCAAATCTTTCTTACCTGCATATTGTTGAATTTACACACAAACAAAAAACTCTTCGTACACGTCTTTTCCTTGTCAAATGTCGTAATCAAATTATTTTTTCATAAAATTAATGGGTCAAAAAGATTATTTAAACTACAAAATAAAATCAGTTTAATATTATTAGATTTAATTTGAATACTTTACTTTCCTTTCTATTAATTTGGTAGTACATATCAACTTTTGATTAATTTAATTATAATTTAGATTATGATATTTTATTAATATATTTTAAGACTTTTTTAACATAAGTTATATTATATATGGATTCTTTCCACCCAATCACATTCAATGATTTCCAATTAAACCCTTCGTCTCACACCATCATTAATTTAGATTTAATCCAATAAAGTGAAAAGACATAGAAAAAAATGAAAAAAGAAAAAAAATAGTGGAAAAATGCAGAAGAAATAATATTATTATATTTAGCAATTGATAGGTGACGTCAGATGGTCTTCCTCATCTTCTTCCTCAGCTGCTCTATTTTCCATTTGTGGGACCACCTGTCCGATCACACAAGCATGCCCTTTATTTTAATTATTAATTACTTACCAAAAATTACATATTATTTTCTAACTAATTCATGCATAATTTATGAGATATGGATCATGGATTATTCATTTATTGAAGCAGATATTTTTTCTTCTGCTTTATTATTAATTTATTTATATTAATAAAATTTAGACTTCCACCACTTTTCCATCACATTATGCCCATAATACTCTACTTAATTATAATTTAATCACTTTAAATCCCTTCTTAATTAAGACCTTCAAAAAAAAAAAAAAAATACTCAAATTAACCACGAGTTGGGTAGAGTTAGATATTTTTCGATTTGTGTTAGCTTAAAATTTTAGAAAACAAAAAAATCCATTTGTTTGCTTAATAAGGGTAACCCGCTTACAACCTGACTTACTTCAAGCTAGTTAGATTAACCCAACTAACTCCAAGACAAGGTTTATAACTCAATCTATCTAACCCACCAACTCTATAATAGGGTACACAACTCACCCTGTTGACGTTAATAACAACGGTTAAAGATGTGTTGTGACTTAAAAATCATTGTTCGAGCCATTAATCCAACTCAACTAAACTGTTTGGAGATAAAAACAAAAGTTTATAAAAAAAACAAAAGTTGGTGTTGATATATTTAATATACAATTTCTAATATTGGAAGAGAAAAAAGAAAGAAAAAAGAAATGCAATGTTTGATATGGAGTTCTGACTAACCTGATCTTGAATTGAAATGGGCGGTAGAGATGATATCCTCCTCGATCTCCTGCTAGATCTACCGTCCAATCTGCCACCTCCTGGATCACAGGCAAAAGTTTTTTTTTTTTTAATTTAAAAAAGGCAATAATAACAAAAAAAGAAATGCAAGCAGCCAGAAAGGAATGAATATTAATTGATGTGTTTATTGATATATATATATATATATATATATAATCACATAAATATCTTCGTAAGGAATATTCACTATTCCCACTTTTATCGTATAGTTTTGACGCTGTTTGATTGGTCCTTTTTTAGTAAAAAAAAAAAAAAAAAAAAAATCGGAAATAATCATCGTCCTCTTTTGTTTCACGTTAACCCTAAACTCACCGGCGGTAGGATGGTGGTTTTTCCTGTATTTCTGATGCGAATCTAGGGTTGAGTCAGCAGTGTCCGGGAGGAGGCGGTTCAACCGTAGACGGCGGCGATGGTGCAGATTTTCGTACATGGATCGGACAAAAGAAGCTTCCATGGAATTCAAGAAGTGCACGTGCTTTTCATCGGTCCAAAACGGCCCCGTTTTGCTGAATTGTACGTGCGACGCCATGGCTAGGGTTTATGGGGAAATAAAAGACAGAGAAGAAGACGAAGAAGAAGAAGAAGGAAGAAGAAAAATGGAGTTTTCCGGTGGGTTTGGGGTTGATTACGATGGCTTTTATAGAGCGATCTGCGAAGAGACCCAATAGGTTGCCATCTCCTTTGCGTTGGCTTGACCCAAACGCGAGTACAGATTGCCTCTTTAAGTGCTTTTCCTACTCGCCTTCCTTCTCTCTTCGCCTATTAAATATTAAAATTTGTGTCAATAATCCAAATATTCTAAAAACATTATTTCTAAAATATAAAATTTTAATTTTAAATCTAATAAATCCATAATATTTTTATATAAGAAAAATTACAATAATGACCATTATATTTTACTAAATTATTTATGATTTTAAAATTATCGTTTGAATGTAAATTTTCATACATCAGGTCAATAATAAAACACACTCTTAACATTTTAAATTATTTTTCTTTTTTTTTTAATCTAAAATTCTAAGGATCGTTTAGATTTAATATAATATGAAATTGGATGATATTTGTATGTCACGAAAATGTATCATAAAAATTTGTAACTGTGGAGGGACAGGTAGGGGAATGAGAGAGCGAGTAGCCAAGAATAGTGTAGTCGAGCGGGTGGAGAAAGGTTGGGGGATGGCAGTGAAAATATCTGAATATATAAAATACGGAGGAGAGAGATATTTTAGAAGAGAACCAAAAAGATCTAAGCTCATTTTTCCGTCCCGACAATGACATTTACTCCAGTTGGCTGATCTGACAATTTCCTTTTCCTTTTAATTATTTATTTTTTCCTTTTAACTATTTTCCCCATGTTATATTTGACTCGATATTTTATTATAAATTGTAATTGAAATAAATATAAAAAATATCTCATTACAAAAAAAAAAAAAAAAAATCATACGTCTTTTAGATATTAAAATTAAAATTATACTCGAAATTGAACGTAAATAAAATTGTTGCAATTAAATATTAAAAATGATAGTTTTTGAGTTTTTAATTAAAAAATATATATTATTTTTAAATCTATTGTTTTCAATTTGAATTATGGAAATGATGGTGCACCAATTTAGCTATAATATTCAAATAAAAAAAACATCAATTTTATTATAATTTATCACTAATTGTATTGACATATTATTTAATTTAATTTAAAATGTAAACACGTTTTATGATTTAAAATACAAACTCATAAATTTTAATTATTTTTTGTCTTTATATTTTTAAATATTTATTTTAATATTTATATGACCAATTTAATTAAAATTTAGGGATAAATATTAAAGAGAATGGATAAACTAAAACTAATATTACGGATTCCAAAATAAAATTTAATAACAAATCCATTATTTATTTAAATTACAAAAAAAAAAAAAAAAAAAAAAAAATTCAACGACCCTCATATTGAATCTGATCCATTCATTCAAGATTGGTGTGGCGTGACCGGACGGCCTCGGGGCTCTCTCCTAACGCCTCAGCCAACTGATACACCACCATCTCAAACAAAACAAACAGAGCCCCTTCATACAAACTCCCCATCGGAAGCAGAGGCCGACATTTCACCGCCGTCTCCGTCATTGATTCCTCATCGTCAGCCATGGTCTGCGCCGGAACGTAGCAAATCACATCGGCGTGCTTCACGGACGAGCCGGTCTCCGGTTGGGCCGTCAGCAGCAAAACCCTACCGCCGTTGGATCTGGCCACGGAACAAATCGCATCGACGGTCGAAAACCCGCCGGGGCCGGCCGATGCAATGAGTAGGTCACGAGCGGCGATTGGCGGCGCGTTCATGTCAAAGACCTGGTGCGAAGAGAGGCCGAGATGAGCGAGGCGCATACAGAGGGCTTTGAGCATTAAACCCTCACGGCCGACGCCATAGAGGAAAACCCTGGCCTTTCGGGCCGCAGCGGCTGAGAGCTCGGAGACCAGGAGTTCCAACGGCGGCGAGTGTTGGCGCGTGGGTTTAAAGAAGACAGAAGCTATTTCGGAGCATATGCGGGAGGCGAGAGAAGGCGGCGATTGGGAAGCCATTGAAATGGGATTCTTGAGAGCTTGATGGAGACTCTGTTACCCTGTTTCAACGGACCATCCTGTTTTATAGTGCACTAATTTTAACTAGATTTTAATTTTATATAATAATACTTTTATTATTAATCTAATTTATATTCTAAATAATATCAATAAAAATATTAAACTAATAATTATATAAATTCAAAGAAAATTTTTAATGAGTAAATTCTATTTACCTTTTATATTAAAAATATTAAACGTTCCAATCAATTTTATAATATTTCATAAATTAAAATATCACAACATAAATTTTAACCCTAATTTTTTTTTTTTTTGTGAAAGTTTATAATTTAAGAAATAATAATAAAAACTTTTTAAACACCAAAAAAAAAATCTATTGGTGGAAGGGAGTGGGAGAACATTGCTTTGCAATTGCGGCAATCGGGAGAATTTGCGAGTCCGAGACAGAATTTTGGTTTACTTTCAGACGGTGGGAGCTCGTCTTTGCTGCACTGAAAGGTAAAGCCCTGCACTAGCGCCACTTCTTTCACTAATCCCTTCTTTAATACACTTTGAATCCGACTTTATATCTGTTTTATCGATCCGAATTTGTAATGGGTTTCAATTAAATTTGCATCAAATTGCCTGATCTGATTCATTTACGGCCTTCGATCGCCAAAAATCAACTGGGTATTTTTCCATTTCCATTTTTGTTTATGATGGAATCCTCCCGTGTTCCATTGCAATTGTTTTGGGTCGCTCGATGTTTGATCTTTTCTATTGCAATATTTTGAGTAACACGGATTCTCGTATGAAGTTGATTTCGATTCTTATTGTGTCTTTTGCTCCTCATTTCCACCCTCGATGGTGCATATGGTTTGCCATTTGGAATATGGTGGACGATAATTTTGCTTTGAATCGCCTCTGAAAAGATTTCTCGGCTTGTAGAAACGATTTTATGAAACGGTGTATAGAACCCCTTTTTTATACGAAGCTATGAATGAGCAAGGGAGTGTGTTATTGTATTTTCTTTCGTTTTTTCCCCATGACAACAACATTTCTATGGAGGTTGCTTTTGAAATCCTGTGATGTTTTAACACCAAGCTTGGATTGTTCTTCTTATGTCTGAACTTTCATTGACTTTGCAAAAGCTTTGTAGATTTGCTTGAGTTTCTAAATTTGAGCTATAATTTGAATTCTCATGGAACCGGACTTAATGGATAGGAGAAGAGACAGTAAGTTTAAAAATAAATTACCCTTCATTTGGATTTTAATGGAGAAGGTTGATGATTTAAGAGAGTTCATATTTGCGTTGAAGTGAAATCTTTCATGAGTTTGTTGAATCTTAAGTTTATCATATTATTTGAACCTCTAACTTCTTGGTAGAGGGTACTTTTTGTTGAAATGTAATTGAAGTTCTTAGAAGTTAATGAACCATAATTAGGAGGTTAAAATGAAATCAATTCTGGTTAAGAGAGATTCATGCTGAATGGTATATAATTTGTCACATTTATTATGTTTAATGAATTCTCTGAGCTGCCTCCCTGTTTCTCTCTAGAACAATATGTTTAGGGGAGCGAGGGGCGATTACCGATGCAAAACTATTTTAAAGTGGAATGATCTTTAGTTTGATTTACTGATCTATCCAAGGAAGTCATCTCTATTCTGTTTGTGGAGTTGCAGAATAAGTTGGCCAAAAGAGAGTTTGAAGTTATGAAGTTTGATCCTAAGGGTTAAGAGCAACTAATACATTACCCCAAGTAAACTGAAAAGACACAATGTTCTCTTTATTTTATGGCCTCTGGAAGTACATATTTAGTAAGACAGAATTTCATGTTCTCATCCTAGGAATCGACAAGGCGGGAAAAACGGTAAACCTCTTCCCTCTTGACTGATTGTACATCGTCTATGTTTTCAGCTCCTTTCTAGGCTTGCTAACTTCTTTACATTCACTTTTAACTTTGTCGTGTAGACTTTGCTTGAGAAGTTGAAGTCATTATACTCGAACTTGGAAGGTCTCTCCCCTGATCGGATTGTTCCAACTGTTGGACTCAATATTGGGCGTCTAGAGGTGTTGAATGCAAAACTTGTCTTCTGGGATCTGGGAGGTCAGGTATGGATATGTAATGAACAATGGTGTTGTAATATAGATTTTTTAAATACAATGCATACATGTGTCGCTTTTGGCTGAACCCTTCGTGCCAAGCATGCTGTAAACCCACATATTATAGCTGATATTTAAGTTGCCAGATTGTAACAGCTCAGGCCCACCGCTAGCAAATATTGTTTGCTTTGACTCATTACATATCGCTATCAGCCTCATAGTTTTAAACCACGTCTCTTAGGGAGAGGTTTCTACACCCTTCTAAGAAATGTTTCATTCTCCTCTCCAATTGATGTAAGATCTCACAATTCACCCCCTTGAGAGCTCAGCATCCTCGTTGGCACACCGCCCGGTGTCTGGCTCTAATACCATTTGTAACAGCCTAAGCCCACCACTAGCAGATATTGTCTGCTTTGGCCCGTTACGTATCATCGTCGGCCTCACAGTTTTAAAACGTGTATGTTAGGGAGAAGTTTCCACACCCTTATAAGAAATGTTTCGTTCTCCTCTCCAACCGATGTGGGATCTCACACAGATTTTGTTGGTGCTAGCTTTCTTTATGCTAAATACATTATCTCAAGTCTTAAAGAGTTGTGTAGAATCTTGTTCTCTCTCTCTCTCTCTTGCATTTTTGTTTTGTGGGTGGGGGTGGGGGGAGTGGATAAGGGGATTTGAATGTGTTATTTATCCCAGTTTTTTTTTCCCTCTTTTTGAATAATTGCAGCCTGGCCTTCGGTCTATTTGGGAGAAATATTATGAAGAGGCACATGCTGTGATCTATGTAATCGATGCTGCTTGTCCATCAAAATTTGAAGATTCCAAATCTGCACTGGGTAGGTGATGCATAGGGTGGCCATACCTTAATTATGTTGGTATCAGCAGTGATAGAACTTGAATATAATGCGTTGATATTATTTTGAATTTCTTTCCCAGAGAAAGTTCTTCGACACGAGGATTTGCAAGGAGCTCCACTTTTGGTTTTAGCAAACAAGCAGGTGAGAACCAGTGATGATTCAATCATAAATTGGAAAACAAATGAGATTAAGTTGTATTGTTGACGATCATATAGTAAATATCTTCCCAAAATCAAGTTTCTTCTCATATTTTGCATCTTGTTCTTTACATTTGATTTGGAGTTTCACATCATTGAATTCATGGATGCAGGATCTTTCTGAAGCAGTATCAGCTGAAGAACTTTCTCGTTATCTGGATCTTAAAAAACTGGATGAAAGAATTTACATGTTTGAAGCTGTTTCTGGCTATGATGGGTATGTGTATATATCTTATTTACATAATCTCAAGAACACGAAAGTTCTTTCGTAATGGGATTACGGGATGAGATCCGACATTGGTAGACATCTAATATATGCTTTATGCCTGCTTTTTATCCATTAAATTAGCCTTCACCAGCAGAAAACATACTAGAAAGCTGAAATTCTTCATTGTTTTGATTCCAGGATGGGGATAAAGGACAGTGTTGAATGGTTAGTTGATATAATGGAAAGAAGTAAGAGAACCGAAACATTGAGAGCTCGAGCAGGTGCGGCATCTTCTGATTCTGCTGCTTATATCCAAATATGAAACAAATTTAGTTGATTTATGTTTCTGATTTCTTTAGCTGAGCTTCCTTATGAACTTCATAGAACTTGGAAAATCGAGTTCAAACATCTGTGTTAGTCACTTGAGATAATCCTTTGGTACTTATTGGGAATGTTTCTCTCATTGACAGGCGTTAGAGGCCCCTAATTCATGCATCCTCCGGCCTGAGGGCACCCACACAATCTGGCTTCCTGTCACCCGTTATCTAGCTTTACTACAAAAATGTAATGAAAATCTTGATTCAATGGCTAATTGGTAGCATTAGATTTCCCAACCAAACAAGTACAGAATTACATGCGTTTGATCCTGAAAATGTTTTCATAGGCAATGTTGGCCTATCATGTTTCATACAAATGATCTAAGCTTTGTCATCCTTTATTCTTATAAAGTTGTTACATTCTTGTTGGTGTAAACCAGTTCCACAGCTTTGGAAGTTAATATTTGGAGATGCCTCCAGAGCTTGAATAACCTGCCGCTTCTGGCTTTGAACATTCATCTTGTAGAAGTGATCCGAACCGAAACAATTCAAGGCATTTGAACTAGATCCTTGCGTCTTCGAGGTGCTAAGTTGGTGAAAATAATCCTCAATATCTGGACTGTCATCAAGAGGGATTTCCCCTGTTAGAGTTTTAATAGCAAATTCTATGCAAGGGTCTGCCAATATTTCCCCTACTGGCAACTCCAAAGTTGATTCTAGCTTCTCGACTACCCCGACTCGATTAACAGGAAGTTCCGAAGATGGCAACTTCTCATTAGGTCCTAGGCTTCTACTCTCATTTGAAGTGAAGGCAGCTGAAGGACGATCGATATTGTTTGGTATCAGTGAAACTTCTGAGCTTATGGATGCGTCGAAAACTTCTCCAGTTAGAGTTTTAACTGCAAATGCAATGCAAGGATCAGCCAATAAGTCCTCCACTGGCAATTTAAGAATAGAGCCTTGTTTTACATCATCTTTTCTACTTGAATCTGTGTTTGTGTTAATACTTTTAGTAGGATCAATGATGCCCTTTGTCTCATGCTTGACATCAGGATTCTCAAGACATTGAGACACTGACTTAGTTGTACTACTGACTGCTTTCTTATCAAACTCTTCACATGCACCTGGGCGTGCTCGGCGACCTGTTTTCACTTCAAGCACTGGCTCAGCTTGGAGCCCTGCAAGTCGTTTTGAAGCACGGCGAGTCAAGTTCATGTCTTTAGTTTTCCTTTGTCTCTTTTTACTCTCATTCTTTGTTGGTCCATCACTAGGAGTCGTCACAAGTTCAGAAAAATCATTCTTTCTATCTGATTGCTCTGGTAGAGTTGAACAAAGCACGTCACTGCCTATTTCTCCTGCAGCAGTCACTAAATTCACCTTAACCTTCAACTGGCAGAAGGGGTCAAATCCATAAGGAATGAAAGAATTTGCTATCTAAAGTAGCATGTTCAAAACTATACCATGACTCGAATCAGGTTCAGAATGAGGTATGCTTTCTCTGACACTCGTAGCATTCGGAAAAATAGCTTCATTGTTCGTTATTTCATGGGGTTCCAACAAGTTCTCGTTCCATATTATCTGTCTCCTTGCTTTGCCAATCGCTTGCATCTCTTTCTTGGGGACAGCGGGCGACTATGAACGAGAGGGAAAGACAAAAATTTAGTAAAATGGCAAAGGTGATAAAACCGAAGTTTGTTGAAACTCGAACTTGGAGCATCATTAGAGAACTCACAGAGATATCATCATGTTGAAACTCAACGTCGACGCCTCTCTGATCCCTTGATTTATACACTAATCGGCTCACCGTTCCACTTGTTAGATACCGATGTACTTCCCTTATCGAGCGAAATACATTTCCATTAACAGGATCAATGTAAAACTGCAAACAAAAGTTCATCTGTAAACTTTCTTGTTCTTCAGCATTTTACAATCTTATGGTCACTAAATATACGGATTAGACAAAGTTCACGGTTCGAGAGCATAACCGAAGTCGAAACAACACGATAAATGAAAACGACATAAAGGAAATAGATGATGAATTACTGAATCTCTTCTTATCCTATTAGCAGTCTTGGTTTCTCTGATTTCCCTGATCCATCCAGGAGGTAACCCTTCTGCTAAAGTCTTCTTAACTTCCACCTAGATTGCTTGAATAATACAAGTTTTTGAAGAAAAATCAATGAAGTTCATAACAATAAAATTGAAAACAAAAGAAATAGAGTAGAGGGTAGACTTTTTTGACAGACATTGTTCTGTGATTGCTTGAAGGTTCTGCTCTCTTCAGATTCAGGATAACAGATTGCAGCAGTTTTGAGATATCTAAACACCTCTGCTCTAGAATTGAATTTCATTTGACTTGAGGGTTCATAATAATACTGCAACATTAGAATCAGATCTTTTCCTATTAGCATTGCAAATCATAATGAAATCTCATGTAGAATTCATAGTCAAGAACAGGAAGAACAACGATATGTTGTTAACTCAGAAACAGCACAAGAATCTATGCAAGTTCAGCATGAAAAAGAAAGTAAATCAAGAGGCAAAGATCTATAGATTCATAAAATGCAAGTAAAAATCCAAGCAAAAGGAAATGAAAACCAGTGCCTTATCCTTTTTGCCACTCTTCCTCACTTTGACCTTCACCGTCCAGCCAGGGGGTAGCCACTCCTCTGACTTCTGGTTCATCATTCAGACTTTCCGGCGAAACCCACCGGCCAATCTCAATAACCCTCTTCACCCTCTCTGTTTTTCTCTCTTTTGGGCTCGCCAAGAGTCTGATTTTGGTGTAAAATCCCTTCAGGAGGCTATAAAAATGGAGGATTCCGACACAATATTCTTTCTAACCACGTGTTCTGAGAAGCACCCTGCGAGGCATATAAACGTGTCGGACCCCATTCATTATCCTCTACAACTCTCCCCTTTCACATTTGACTACGACCCTCTTTTCTGGATCTTACGATTGTTCTTTACACCCATCTGTAAGTTCAAAACGCAACTCGATTCAAATGTACCGCCGATTGAAGTGGAGGACTATGGCAACGTATCTGGGAGTAAAGCAGAGAATTGAAACCGCTAGAGGTTCCAATAACGTCTGCTGTAACGGAAGAGTAAAGGGGAAATATCGAAGCTTTTAATAAGCTTTAAGAACGGAGGAATAAGTTCTAGATTTGAAAAAAGAGCGGGCTGTTCTGGGTAATGGGTATATCTGCAAAGTGGAAAGTGGAACCCTTTCTTTGGTTTCAAAAGTGAAAGAAACTTCATAATTTGTTTTTGGACTAATTATGGAACTTTAACCCCCAAAAGAATTTGTTTTTGAAAACAAGACGTGGGTTTTGAGCCACTGCCACAATAATATTAAAACAAAAAGAAATCCCTTTATTCTTTTTTCTTTTTTCATTTCATTTCTTAAAAGAAAAGCGAAAAATTGGAAATCAAGGACCCCCACAAGCCGAAACCTCTCCGCGGGAGAAATGGGGGTAAAGAACTTGTGGGATATCTTAGAATCGTGCAAGAAAACTCTCCCACTTCATCGTCTTCAGTAAGTGTTTTCCTTCATTTTCTCGGCAACCAAACAGGGGATTTGGGGACTTGTATCTGTATTCTTCTTTTGAGTTTTCGGGATTTTGAATTGGGGTTCAGGAATAAGAGGCTATGCATCGATCTCTCATGTTGGATGGTTCAGCTTCAAAATGTAAGCAAATCGCATTCTTGTCTGAACCAGAAGATTTACCTCAAAGGGCTCTTTCACCGCCTTCGAGCGCTCATTGCCTTGAATTGCAGCCTTATTTTCGTTACAGGCATGCTCCACATTAAACTACACAGCTATTATGAACAACAAATGATGGGTTCTCGTTTAATTTTGCTTTCTTTTTGCTGTTTGTAGATGGTTCAATTCCTGGCATCAAACTTTCAACTTATAAACGTCGTTTGAACAATGGAAGTGAGGTGGGAATTCTCACAACCCACTTTCGTTTCATTTCTCCTTTTTACTTGAATGTTACTTACCAAAGATGCAACAAGACAGGTTGTTAAAAATGACACAAATTCCCAGCAAATATCCTCACTGAAAAGAAACCAGGGTTCTGAGTTCTCTTTAATGATCAAAGAGGCAAAAGCCTTAGGACTGGCGCTTGGTATCCCTTGTCTAGATGGGTAAATGCTTAAGTTTTCATTCTGTTTTTGGCTTAATGAAAAAGTTCATTAAATTTTCAATCAGAGTCTTATGGTTTTCTGTCTTCTGAGCACTTGAATCTTTTTGCATATACCTCTGAATGTAGGCTCGAGGAAGGGGAAGCACAATGTGCATTACTAAATTCAGAGCTATTATGTGTAAGTTGAGTCTTATTTATAATGTTTGAGTGCTCCACATGCTTATTGCTTTTGCATCTCTGTTGTCTTGAACATCATTGCTATTATTAAAGCATCATTTTCTGATCAGGATGGATGTTTTACTTCAGATTCAGATGTTTTCCTTTTTGGTGCTAGGACGGTATATAGGGACATATGCCTTGGTGAGTGTCCTAGAGCATGCTCAGTTTCTGTAGAGTTGGTTTATGGTTTTAAAAGATGTACTCATTATTCTTATTATTTGTTGTTAAATTAGGAGATGGTGGTCATGTAGTGTGTTATGAAATGGATGACATTGAAAGACAATTGGGCTTTGGGAGGAACTCAATGGTAATTTTCTTGTTTTTTGTTTTTTCTGCGTCTACATTTCGAACAATATATGATTTAAGAGAGTGGAGTGTTTTGTGAGATCTCACATTGGTTGGAGAGGTGAACGAATCATTTTTTATAAGGGTGTGGAAACCTCTCCCTAATAGATGCGTTTTAAAACCTTGTGGTTGCCCAGAAGGGAAAGCCTAGAGAAGACAATATCTACTAGTGGTAGGCTTGGGCAGTTACAAATGGTATAAGAGCCAGACACCAGGTAGTGTTCCAGTGAGGACGCTAGGCCCCCAAGGAGGGTGGATTGTGAGATCCCACATTGTTTGGAGAGGGGAACAAAGCATTCTTTATAAGGTGTGGAAATCCCCCCCTAACAGACGCGTTTTAAAACCTTGAAGGGAAGCTCGGAAGGGAAAGATCAAATAGGACAATATTGGCTAGCGGTGGGTTTGGGCTATTACAAATGGTATTAGAGCCAGACACCAGGCAATGTGCCAGCGAGGATACTGGGTCCCCAAGGGGGGTGGATTGTGAGATCCCGCAATGTGCCAGCGAGGATACTCGGTCCCCAAGGGGGGTGGATTGTGAGATCCCACATTTGTTGGAGAGGGGAACAAATTCTTCATAAGAGTGTGGAAACATCTCCCTAACAGATGTGTTTTAAAACTTTGAGGGGAAGTCCGGAAGGAAAAGACTAAATAGGACAATATCTGCCGGCGGCGGGCTTGGGCTTGGGCTGTTACATTGTAAGATTAGTTTTCTCTTTCTATGATAAAATATGTTATCATTACCAAATCATTTTGTGATTTCCAGATTTCTTTGGCCCTACTTCTTGGCAGTGACTACTCGCAAGGCGTTTATGGCATGGGTCGTGTAGGTTTCAATTCCTGTTTTTCTCTGTTGGATTGCTTTTTGTACTAACAATTCGACTGCAACATGCAACTGTGTCTGTGCTGTTTTTGTACACTTTGTAGGAATCTGCTTGTCAGATTGTTAAAACAGTAGGAGATAGCACTGTCCTTCAAAAAATTGCATCTGAAGGGCTGTCTTTCACAAAGAAGGGGAAAAATTCCAAGAAGTCAGGACTTCCTAACTCTGGTCATATTACTACTATAGAGCTTCATTCTCCTTTTTCAACACTAAAATAAGTGGAATAGGGGAATTTGAGCCTTGGATAGAAACTAAAAAACAACCTGGTTTTATCAATTTTGATTTGTGATGTGGGTTTCTTTGGTTTGGTTGTATAGGGGATGGGCAGTTCATGCATAAATGTGAGGAGTTTTCACAAGTCATTGATGCCTATCTGAGACCCAAATGCCATTCAGCTGATTCTGATGCTGTGACTAGGTGAGCTTGTTGAACCTTTGGAATTACATTACAAATAGTTCTGTACTCTGTGTTTGCAAAGACTTTGTTTGTGAGAGATCCCACATTGGTTGGAGAGGTTGGTTGGAGAGGTTGGTTGGAGAGGAAAGGAGAACGAAACATTTCTTATAAGGGTATAGAAATCTCTCTCTAGCAGACGCATTTTAAAACCGTGAGGTTGATGGTGATACATAACGGGCCAAAACGGACAATACCTGATAGTGGTGGGCTTGGACTGTTACATTCTTCTTCAACATATGTTTGAAGCTCGTTTACTTCGAGGCTTGTAATATTGTGTCGTATTGATATTTACATGATTAGTCTTCAAACTTTCCTTTTTGCAATGCATGTAGATTTTGTGAAATTCATATGCCTTCAGCACTTTTTTTTTTCTCTCTACAGGGTTCTTATTCAGCATTCTTTTCAACGTGCCAAGCTTCAGCAGTTCTGTGCCGAATTTTTTGCTTGGCCTCCTGAGAAAACAGGTTCTTTTTTTTTTTCCTTCATCATCTTTGGAGCTAACTAGAAAATGGTTCCTTTGATGTTTAGCTTGTGAATAACCCATGCATGGTTCAGATGAGTACATTCTTCCAAAGATAGCAGAAAAAGATCTACGACGATTTGCTAATCTTCGTTCGAACACAGCAGGCCTCGGTTTCAACATTCCACTTCAAGAGGTATGTTTATTTCTTCAAGAGTTACTTTTATCGTTGTTACTGATATGGATACTGTTTGATTGCATTTTTTTTTATTACAGGTACCTGTAAGTTGTCCTGTTTCTGGAATCGTCAAGCACCGAAAAGTCCAGGGGAACGAATGCTATGAGGTTTCATGGAAAAATTTAGATGGGCTTAGTTCATCTGTTGTACCAGCAGATCTCTTGCAGAGGTATGGAGTGTCCTTACATAATTTCTTCTATAACAAATGACGATTTGGATACTTCACGACTATTTCCTTTTTAATATTTCTACAGTGCCTGTCCGGAGATGATTGTAGAATTTGAAGAGCAAAGAGCTCAAGGAAGAAAACCAAATAAGTGCAAAACAAAAACAAAGAAGTCAGAGGCTACTGTGGCTGAAATTGATAAAAGATTCCAAACTCTGTTGCTTGAAATAGAATCTGAAAGCAGGGCAGTTCGTAATCTTTCCCAAGCTCCAATAGTTTCGGAAAACAGTAATTCTGCTACTGGTTTGGATGAGTTGCAAGATATTATTTTTGACGTGGAACCAACCATTGTTGATCATGCTCACGGTACAGAGATCGTTGAGGTCATCAATCTCTTAAGCCCTTCACCTGCAATTCAAACGCGCAAAGTTCCGAAATTTCAACAGGGAAACTGTGAAAAGATTGATGTAATTGATTTGAGTGACACAGAAAATGATCAGTCACCTGAACATGAGAGAAAGGCAAGTGAGTTGAGATTGTTCTTAACCTCCTTAAAGGGTAAATGACTTCCTCTGAAAGGCCATAAATGTATTATGTATATTGCAACGAAATGTGCAACACTACTAAAGGAATTAAGATTTAGAATCTGGTTTTTAAGATATTTTCTGCTTTGACTCGTTTCGTATCGCCGTCAGTCTCACGGTTTTAAATGCTAAGGAGAGATTTCCACACTTTCATAAGAAATAATTCGTTTTCCTTTCTAATCGAGGTGAGATCTCACACATCTTACATGGATTAGAAAAGAAAGGACTAGCCAAGCCAAGTCAAACCAAACCCCACTCGGAAACTAGTGACCAACTAATACAAACCCAACCGAACTTAGATTGGTTCGATTTTATTCGATTTCTTGTATCAGATAAATACTCTTTGAGGTGTTGCTACATCTTTCCATTATAACTCAATGAAAATGCCTCGCCATGATGTTAGCCATTATCCTCTTGAAAGTATCTTGTGAACGTTGAGCTTCCACGGGATGCATAAATAACACTACTCTGGCCAGTTCTCTTTAATATATTCTCCTCTTCCATCTTTTCCCTTGCACTTAGAGCCTCTTGCCAATGCTCAACTGATGCATACATGTTCGACAAGCTCACATGGATTCCACCTTCTTTTGATCTCAATTTTCTCACTCTCTCAACTATATCTTCTGCTCTCTTGAAATCACTTCTTAACTTGCAACCACCCAGCAAAGCTCCCCATATTGCAATATCAGGCTCAAACGGCATCCGGTCTACTATACGCAGTGCTTCCTCTAATCGACCGTTTCGACTAAGCAAATCAATGACACAACCATAATGTTCGATCGTCGGGCTAATTCCATGTTCCTTCTGCATGTTATCAAATATGATTTGACCTTCTTCTGTCATGCCTCCATGGCTGCAAGCGAACAGAGCTCCAAGAAAGGTGAAGTCATTTGGCTTCAAGCCTTCTTTTTGCATCAAAGAGAGTAATTTGATGGCATCTTGAGCCTTTCCATGGAGGGCAAGTGATTTCAGCATAACGTTCCAACAAAACACATCCTTCATTCCGATTTTGATGAAAATAGTAAAAGCTCTGTTAATGTCTCCACATTTTGCATACATTTCAATAAGGGCAGTTGCAGCAATAACTCCAAGTTGAGAGACATCATCAATCAAGTAATGTATCCACTTCCCAAACTCTAGATCCCCCAAATGAGAACATGCTGATAAAACAGAAACAAAAGTATACCTATCAGGAGTTATGCCTTCTGATAGCATTTGGATAAAGAGATTCCGTGCTTCCTGAAAATCCCCGTGTTGAACGTAGCTAGAAACCATAGAATTCCAAGACACCACATTTCTTTGAGGCATTTTATTGAAGAACATTCTTGCTGTAATAATATCTCCAGCTTTGGCATATGCCCCAATCATAGAAGTCCAAGACACAATATTCTTCTCCGGCATTCGTTCGAATAACTCTCTTGCTTTCACTACGTCTTGTACTTTGACATAACCAGAAATCATCGTATTCCATGAAACAATATCTCGATCTTCCATACTATCAAACAACTGCCGTGCACCATAGACATCCCCAGTTCTCATATACACCAAGATCATTCGGTTCCAAACTTCAATAGTTCTATCACGCATTTCATCGAACAGCTTGCGAGCATCCCAAACCTTCCCATCAGAAACAACCCCAGGTCCAGAAAATTCTGAAATTTTCAAATACAAATTTAAAAGCGCATCAGAAACAGAACAGTTTAACGAAAATCCAGTCTTGATAATTCGGCAATGCACTTTTTTCCCATCCCAGAACCAACCCAAATCAGCACATGAGTTTAGCACATATGGGTAGGTGAAATTATGTGGTTTGAGCCCTCTCTGAAGCAATTCGCCATACAAAGACACAGATTTCTCAACAGGGCCATTAAAAGCATAGCCCCTAACCATCGCATTCCAGAATTGAACTTCGGTTCTGAAACTGGGATTGAGATGAGAAAACACAAGAATTGCGTAGTCCATGGTCCCCAATTCGGTGGTTCGTCGAAGAAAGCTCGAGAAAACATGGATGTTTTGGTGAATGGATGATGTTAAGAGGAGAGCGTGGATTTGTTTGAGCTGCACGAAGCTGCATCTTGGTAATATCTCTGAAATTTGGCCTCCAAGTTGCAGGCCATTCATAATTTATACGAGTTGACAATGGCGGGAAGAGGCGGCCTTCAACCGATTTTGTACAGTTGCATAGACCGAAAATAGTTGCATAAAAAACCAATTTTTATAGTCTAAAGAGGCATTCAAGCCTATGGTGCATAGGTGAAGTTACCACTTTGCCCTCTCAACTTTTTTAAGTTTTGTATTTAATAATTTTTTTTAAAAAAAAAATTATATATTATACAAAAATGGCCTTAAAATACTCTTGATTTTAAAAATAGCATTCCATTAACCCCTTTACCTAAAAAAAAATTAAATTTTTTTTAATATTATTCTTAAAAACTCAGGAGTATATTTGAAACGTGGTTATACCAACTGTAACAATATTTTTGAATTTTTTTTAAAAGTTTGGAGTATTTTTAGAATAAGGATATTTTTATTAATTTAATCCTAAAATTACACGAGAGCTAGCGAAAGAATAATGAATTTAATTAAAAATTAATGAAACAATTTTCTATTGTTATATAGAATTACAAATTGATTATGATGAGATAATGAGATGTCGAAGAGAAGAAAGGAAGCCCATAAAAGTACAAGCACTACACCAAAAGTTACAACCACTGGCGTCCATTTCAAGCCAATTTCCTGTCCATACAAACAAAAATTAATGCTTAACCTTTGTTTGGTTGCCAAGAAAATGAAAGAAAATTACCTTGACAAATGAAAAGCTCCAAATGGATGAGGAATTTGCATTACAAATTGATCTTTCCACCATATCTAAATTTGAAGCTTAGTTAATAAAAAACTAATTTGAATTATTATAACTTTAAACAACAGTATCTAGTACCCGTTATCTTTCTCCTTCTTTCAAAAATTTCAGAGATCGAGCAAGTGACTATGTCTAGATCAGTTTGGCTACGGCTATCATTGAGCTTGTATAGATTGACTTGTGTTCTTGTATCAATGTATCGCTTCCTAATATTGCTAATAATATTATCTGCATACATCAAATAGGTTATGAGTATGTCAATTCAACAATGCAATCAATTTATCTTGATTTGAGTAGTCACGGCCTAGCTATTCGAGTTGTTAGCAGTAAATGATTTACTTTTCTTTGGAAGGAAGTAAAGTAAGGACATGAGCGAGAACAAGACATATATTCATATCTATTTGTCCTTAGATCGGGCGGGCATTGATGTTTATTTTAAAAAAAAAAAAAAAAAATGTTTTTTTTTTCCTTGTTCTTCACATTTATTAAAAAAATGGATGAAGAGGGTTGAGAAAGGTTACCAAATTTGGGGAAACTATAGGGTTTGACAAGGCTGTTTAGTAGGGCATCATCAAACTTGGAAAACTCCCTTTGCAGATCTTGCAAGTAATGGATAGCCAGCTTTCTTGGGTATAAAGAATCGCATAATGTCATGTAACACACTCCGTTCTCGATCAAGTAACTAATTGATGTAACACACAAAAAAAAAAAAAAAAAAAAAAAAATTATGAATTGAGTAGGTTCATGGGTTCTTCTTAAATTTTATGGCTAACTAACCCAAATTAACCCGACCCAACTCAATATTTTAAGATGGGGTCGAGCTGAGTTCGTTATTTTAGAAAGGGTTTTATGGATTGAAAAAATTTTAAACTCGATCGAAATTGAATTGAATATAAAAAGATATTTTAATCCGATAGGTCGAAATGAACGTAAAGAAAAGAGAGTTAGAAGGGTACATGAAAGAGTGATGGTGCATCTGAATGGCCATTTTTGGAGATGACAAAGCCCCTCTAGAGATCTCTTTGAGTATGAACTCAGCTTGCTGTTTGTACCCCAAAACATCATCATTCTCTTCATTGACATACCTAATGCCTTGTGCAAGTGGCACTCCATCCCTAACCCTTCCAACCATTGTCAGCTTCACCATGTTTGTTTAATCTCACTTTCTCGTTTGTGAAGCCCCTCATTTTATACCAAAACTCAAACAACTTGCTCGTTAAGTTGTTCCAAATTAAGGGTATTCGTAAATATTCTATTTTGGACATGTGACATTCAATTATGAACTGATATCATATTCAAATAAGAACATGAACTAATACCATATTTTTTATAATAATTAAATCATAAGAACTTTAAAGTTAAACGTGTTGAAGTTATCATGTGTCGAATCTGGATTCCAAATCTTGCATATAAGACAATAATAACGAATCGTCTTCTTAAATCTTCCATTAAATTAAGAACGAACATATATAATCCAAAGAAACAAGCAATTTCACGTAGAAAAGAAAGAGAGAGGGATTGCTTTAGAAACAACCAAGAATCTTCTTTGGAGCAGTTCCAGTGGCTCTGTATTTTGCAGCAATTTCCTCTGCTTTAAGCTTCTCTTCTCCACGTTTCGCTTCAATCACTGCCTTCTTCTCTTCTGCTGCTTTATGAATCAACGCTATTTTGTTCTTCATTTTCTCAACATATTCCGCTTTCTTCTTCTCAAACTTTTCCTATTCTCAAACACAAACATATATTTTCACACCAAAATTTTCTCGGCATCCAAACAGATTCCACGTTCATATTGCTTACCTCGATCTGTTTCAGCTCAGCCTCCACCGCCGCTTTCTTGCTGCTCTCCCATGACCCAATTTCTGATAGTTTTTTGTGAGCTCTGCTCAATGAACTCCATTAGCTATCTACCTTAAATCTCTGTAATACTCAACACAAAATTATGGGTACCTGTTCTCTGTTCTTGATTTTTCACTCTCTTCCCAAGCTTTAATGAGTGTCAGTCTCTTCTCTGTTGCTACTCTTGCAAGCTCAGCATCTAAGAACCATAATAACAAAGAAATTTATTCAATTTTTCATTTGGGTATTAAATTATTGACATTAATCACTTCATATGACTTGTTAATTACCTCTATTAATTGAGCTACTCTGTTTCTCCTCTGTTTTTGCTTCAGTCTCTGTCAAAACAGGGCAAGATGAATTCCAAAATTCAATCCCTTTTTTTATTCTTTTTTCCTTTTAATTTTCTTTTCCCATCAACCAAACAGCTCCAAAAAGCGAAAAAGAACTAAAACAAATGAAAAAGTTGAGAGCTTTATGTCTGTAAATTACTTTCAAAGATAAGCAGAGGTTTGGAGTCATCAGCCGGCGTCTTCTCCGGTGGGGTTAACTGGATGATTGATTTCTCCTCCGCCACGTTTTTAGTCGGCTCCTCCACGAGCTCCGCCGCTTGCGGCGGAGAGGGCTCGGAAGGAGGTTCAGATTCCAGCTTCTTGGGCTCATCGTCAGCCATTTTCTGAGTTAAGAGAGAGAAATAAATGAGAGAGAGAGAGTGGTTGAGATATTATAGTTGGAGGAAGAAGAAGAGAAGCATTAGGAGTTGGTATTTGAAAGAGGAAGATGAATTGAGAAGTGACCAAATTTGTCTTATTATGAGTTGGCACTTGCCATTATGAGCTTCCAAATTAAGAAATATCTTATCGTATAATCGACACGGGTTTACATCAAAGACGAGTAAAAAATGATGGCTCTTAGCAATACAATATTTTACGCATAGGAGAGATCGAAGCAATATAAAACATCTCAAAGATGACATTTTTCTTTCCGGACAGCTGTTAGTAGATTGAGAAATCATTTCGTCCCTCCCCTTGTTCTCGAACAAGAGTCATATGTTCTCAAAAATAGCTGTACCAATCTGACCTATCTGGCGAGCAATCTCCGTTGGTAGCAAGACAAAAAATGTATGTAATGTAGATGCGATTAAAATGAAGGGTCTAAATTGATTGATTTGAAAGTTGTAAAGTTTAATTCATGTTTTTTTTAAATAAATAAGAAAGCAAAGGATAAATCAGATTATTTCTTTTTTGAATGTTAATAATGATAAAAACTTTCGAATATATTTATAATCAATTTATGTTCGACATGTCGAACCGGTGGGAAGTGAAGGAAAGTGGGTGGAGAAACGACGATGGGCAGGCTGTCGAGAATTGTGGTAACCTAGCAAGTCTTCTCTCGCTTCACTCTCTCTCAGTCTTTCTTTAGTTCAACTACGATCTTAAACTTGTTGCCCCCAATTTGAAGAACAAACTTCAAGCTTGTTTTCAAGCGTCAAGCTTCGAAGATCGCAACAAAATCGCAAAATCCCAGATAAGTCTTATTCAAACTCGAAATTTTTCTCTGCTACATTGAAATTCATCTTTCAAATGAGGATTTTGTGTTGGATTCAATACCTATTGCAAGATTGGGAGTGTTCATGTTAAATGGGTGCCGCCCAATTTGGGAAAACAAACGCTTCGGCGATTCCCCACTTGCCCATTTTTGCTTTCTTAATAGATTACTCAATTTCCTTAAGTATTGCGAGTGTTTATCGATAATGGGTATCAATCATGAACGCTTTATCGCTTCTGAGTACGCGGATAGTCTGGAGATTGGTTTCAAATTCTTTCATTGTGCGTCGAACAATTTGGAATCGGAGTTTTGGTAGTGATGACCGATTTGAGTTTGTTATGGAACCCTATAAGAAGGGGTTGGAGAGATCAGAGTCTTGTGAGTTTGAGAGTCTTAGATACGATGATTTGTCTGTGAGAAGGGGTTTTCTAGAGGATTCGAAAACTGATGCTGGAAAAGTTCTTGAGGTTCTCAAACAGGATGGTCCTGGATTTGACACATTAGTGGCTTTGGATGAACTCCAACTAAAGGTCTCAGGAGTTCTTGTTAGGGAAGTTTTGAGGGGGATTTTGAGAAGCATAAATGTTCTAGACAAAACTCAGTGTGCAAAATTGGGGTACAAGTTCTTCGTGTGGTCTGGTAAGGTTGAGAATTTCAACCACACCGCTAGTTCGTATCATTTGATCATGAAAATATTTGCTGAATGCGAGGAGTTCAAGGCTATGTGGAGGTTAGTTGATGAAATGACTGAGAAAGGGTACCCTGTTACTGCAAGGACATTTACGTTATTGATATGTACTTGTGGTGATGCAGGGTTGGCTAGGAAAGTTGTCGAGAGGTTTATCAAATCGAAAACGTTCAATTACAGGCCGTTTAAGCACTCTTACAATGCCATTCTCCATGCACTTCTTGGTATAAAACAGTACAAGTTGATTGAATGGGTGTATCAGCAAATGCTGCTTGATGGTCATAGCTCGGACATGCTGACATATAATTTGCTATTGTATGCAAGGTGCAAATTGGGGAAATTGGATCAGTTTCACAGGTTGCTTGATGAAATGGCCAGGAATGGGTTCTCTCCTGATTATCATACTTATAACATTCTTCTCTATGTTCTTGGCAAAGGAGACAAGCCTCTTGCCGCTTTAAACCTTTTGAACCACATGAGGGAAGTAGGCTCTGATCCGAGCATTCTTCACTTCACGACGTTGATAAATGGACTTAGTCGGGCTGGAAATTTGGAGGCTTGCAAATATTTTTTTGATGAACTTTCTAATAACGGCTGCACTCCTGATGTCGTTTGCTACACTGTGATGATCACAAGCTATACAGTAGCTGGGGAGCATGAAAAGGCTCGAGAACTTTTCGATGAGATGGTAATAAAGGGCCAACTCCCTAATGTATTTACATACAACTCCATGATTCGTGGGTTTTGTATGGTCGGTGAATTCGAGGAAGCTTACACTATGCTCAAAGAAATGGAATCCCGAGGCTGCAAACCAAATTTTCTTGTATATAGTACCCTTGTAAGTTATTTGCGAAACGCTGGACAGCTTTCCGAGGCTCACAAAGTTATTACACATATGGTCGAGAAGGGGCAATACGCGCATTTAGTGACGAAATTCAAGGGATATAGAAGATGCTAGATCAGTAGGATGAATGTTTGTAGTTGGAGATTATTAATTAATAACCAGATGAGAAATTGAAGAGGCAGCTACTCCTTGGTCTCCTGATATTGATTAATAACCATATGATACATAGATGTAGCCATAACTGTTATTCCATTATGAAACTTAGTCCCTGTCTTTCTAACTTTGTGTGTTCTTTTCTGTTATAGTCTATGTTCTTCTCTCCCCTATCATTTTAGCCGTTGAATGTTTCTAGTTGATTCTGGTTATAACTTTCAAGGAGGAATGAACATAATCTATACAATAGTTTAGCTGCAAGATTGGAAAAGTTTGCACTGGTTCGAAGAACAGTGGTATAGTTTTTTCTGGTGTGATACTCTCTTCTTTTGTAACCGCCGAAAGCAGATATTGTTCTCTTTGACCTTTTTCTTTAGAGGGCTTTCACTTTTGGTTGGGGAGAGGAATGAAACAGTTCCTATAAGGGTGTGGGAACCTGAGGCGAAGCCCAAAAGGGAAAGCCTAAAGAGAACAATATCTGGTAACGGTGGGCTTGAGCAGTTACAAATGGTATTAGAATCAGGCACCAGGTGGTGTGCCAGTGAGGATGCGGGTCCCCAAGGGGTGTGGATTGTGAGATCCCACATCGGTTGGAGAGAAGAATGAAGCATTCCTTATAAGAGGGTGAAAACCTCTCCTTAATAGATGCGGTTTAAAACCTCGAGAGAAAACTCGGAAGGGAAAGTTAAAATATGATAATATTTGGTTAGCGGTGGGATTGGACTATTATAAGTATAGTTTATTTATTTATTTATTTTTATTATTATGGGGCTACAAATTATGTAAAGAAAGATAAAGTGGCATAGCCTGCTATGTTTCTCATCAGATCAGAGCTGAGGCCTTTTCTGTCATGACACTGCTGGGGGAATGCTGGTAATGATAAGGGCAGGTAAGAGTGGCTGCAAATTGTTTTAGCTTTTTGTTATCAGATTTCTGTATCATATGCATCTTATGCCATCCAGTCCTACAAAAGGATAGAACACCTATGATCACGAGACTCAGTCATGCACAAAGATAACATACAAGTCATAGGGATAAAAGCTTTAATTTGTATACTAGCTCGAACGTGTATAACCCATGTTGTAATGAATGAGTGCTTGGAAATATTACCCTCAAACTATAATAGTCTGGACCAGAGTACTAACAATCGACCGGGACAAATAACTTTTATGCATGTCATAGAAAAACGTCATTTTACAAAGTCCTTTCAACTCTCTCAATTAATTGGTTATTCATTTTAGCAAAACAAAATATTAATATTGCAACACAATTGGCCATTTATCATTTAACTTAGCCGCAAAAAAATTTAATATTACATTACTTTTACAAATCCCTCACACTAATAAATTTGACTTTTAAGCCTTGTTCTTACAACATTTAATTAAAAACAACTAAATAAATCTGGTTAATTTCGTGAAAATTATAAATAAATAAATAATTGGGGTATGATGAAGCCTCTATGTTCAATTTATTTAATAAATCCATAAAGTTTTTAAATTTTAAAATGGGGTAAGAGATTTTTGGAGTACTTTTCTAAGGTTCTTTTTAGACACGTCAATCAATCACATTAAAACCTCCATTTTTGTTCTCTTCTTCACAACTTCAATCTTCCATTTTTTCAACCAACACCCATCTACCACTTTTCCCGTCAAGTCAAATTTCGCCGGACCACCTCTCCTCTGCCCACGTTCAACTGCGCCGGTGGACCTGAAGCTGAAGGGTGACAACGTTAAACAATGAGGGACGCCGGATTCCACCAGAGGTTTTCAAATTATGCCGCTTGGGTTTCTCGCCACTTCTCAGATCATCTCTTGAAGCCATCTCTCAAGTCTCCGGCGAGATTCTCTCTCATTCTCTTCTTCTCTCTCTTCCTCCTCGCCGGCGCGTTCCTCTCCACGCGTCTCCTCGATTCAAATGTAAGTTTCTTAATGCATAATAGTATTAAAAAATTAGAAAATGTTTTTCCTTTTTTGTCTAAATTCCGGAAATTAAGGAGGATTTTATTGATTTCAGACGGCAGGGGGTAATTTTAGAGGGAGCAACAACACTTCCCAAATACCCAAAATGCCACTCCGTCGACGACAAGTCGAATTCCCACTCGATTGCACGTCCTTCAATAGCGTGAAGCGCGGTGTCTGCCCTGCCAGCTACCCGACCAATTGGACATTGGAGGAAGATCCGAATCATCCAGAACCAATGACGTGTCCGGATTACTTCCGTTGGATTCACGAGGACCTGAGACCGTGGGCCCGGACGGGGATCACGAGGGCCACGATGGAGGCTGGCCAACGGACGGCGAATTTCCGGCTGGCGATAGTGAACGGGAAGGCTTACGTGAAAACTTATCGGAAGTCGTTTCAGACGAGAGATACTTTTACGGTGTGGGGGATCCTACAGTTGCTACGGAGGTACCCTGGGAAAGTGCCTGATTTGGAGCTGATGTTTGATTGTGTTGACTGGCCTGTGATTTTGACTTCTCATTTTAGTGGGCCTAATGGGCCGGCCCCACCTCCTTTGTTTCGTTATTGTGGAGATGATGCCACGTTGGATATTGTTTTTCCTGATTGGTCCTTCTGGGGTTGGTAAGTCAACCTTTGACTTCTTAAAAATTGTGCCAATTGGGTGTTTATTCTTCTTGAAATATTATTTTGTTTTTCTATGAATTTTTTTTAAAAAAATCTCTTTAAACAGAAATTAATAATTTAAATAGAAAAATTCTAAAAATATTATTCTATTTTATCATAAACCGAAAAATTAAAAAATTAAGTGTAGCCAAGGATGGAAACCTGAGTAGCCCATACTAAACCTCCGATAAACGCTCTTAAAAGATATTAATATGTAAAAATTTAGGATCGAACCAGAAAAAGAACACTCTAAGAATATATATTTACATAATCTTGTGATGATTGAATACATTATTGGACTTTTGCAGGCCAGAAATCAATATAAAGCCATGGGAGCCATTGTTGAAGGACCTAATAGAAGGGAACAAAAAGATCCCATGGAAGAGTAGAGAGCCTTATGCTTATTGGAAGGGAAATCCGGAGGTTGCCGAAACCCGAAAAGATCTACTTAAATGCAATGTCTCCGACCAACAAGATTGGAATGCTCGTGTATTCACTCAGGTATCGGTTTATGTTCGAACGTTGTCGAACATAACTCACTCGAACTCATTCCAACAACTATACATATGCATCATCATCATGATATTTGTAGAAACATAGCTCGATAGCGAGGCGATCGAGCTCGTTGGATAGAATTTCTTATAATGGTTGGATAATCAATTTTCAGGATTGGATGAAAGAATCCCAGCAAGGATACAAGCAATCAGATCTTGCAAAGCAATGTGTTCATAAGTACAATTTGAAACTCTCTTTGTTGTTCTTTAACAACAACTTTCCTTTTTCATTCCTTTATACTCATTTGCAGGTACAAAATCTATATTGAAGGATCAGCTTGGTCTGTTAGTGAAAAATACATTCTTGCTTGCGATTCCGTTACATTACTTGTAAAACCGCGCTACTACGACTTCTTCACACGAGGTCTAATACCGATGCATCACTATTGGCCCGTCAAGAACGACGACAAGTGCCGGTCTATCAAATTTGCAGTTGATTGGGGCAACAGCCATCAGCAAAGGGTAAACCACAATTTGGTTTGAGTTCATGTTCATGTCTATGTTAGAGCTTAGGATCATAGATTGTCTGTGTTTCATGGTTGGCTCAGGCGCAGGCCATTGGCAAGGCAGCAGCCAGTTTCATCCAAGAGGAGCTGAAAATGGAGTATGTATATGACTACATGTTTCATCTCCTAACACAATACTCTAAACTTCTAACATTCAAGCCAACGATACCGCCCGACGCGATCGAGCTTTGTTCCGAGGCCATGGCTTGTCCAGCTCAAGGGCTCACTCAAGAATCCATGACAGAATCGTTGGTGGAGAGCCCTGCAGAGACAAGCCCCTGCACTCTGCCGCCGCCATATGATCCGGCATCGCTTCTTTTTGTTCATAGTACAAAACAGAGTTCAATCAAACAAGTGGAACAGTGGGAGACAACTAAAAGTAAGCAGCCATAGACAAAAACTCATCTGGGTGTTGTTCTTTAACATGTTTTCTTCTCAAAGTTCTAATCTTTTTGTTACCATTTGAAACAAACGCATTGAAACTGTGAAAGATTAAGTGAAAGAAGGAATGTTGATATAGAACTACAACAGATCGTCGATACAGCTTTAGATATGAGTGGAAACACCATAAAGCAAAAACAAGGCTGTGAAAAAAGATCAAAACGTACAAAAAAAAGGACAAAAAAAGTGGAAAAGAAAGTGAATGAGTCGTATAGTATCACAACATTAAGCAGGATCAAGAATGGAGATGAAAAGTGAGCTTAAAAGGCTCGAGCTTTGATTATGTCGAAGCTCATTTCGCTTGCATCAGTGGCTTGCAATTCCACCTGAATCCCATCCAATTCCCTCTTGAATCTGTCCTTGGAGCTTGCATACACCATCTTATTTCGCACGATCGATGTGTCGGGTGACCTTCAAAACAGAGAAACACACAGATTTGGACAAGCAGACAAGCTTAGTTTAAGGTTTGATAGAGACATAAGAGATTTTTTGTGAAACCAATGTGAAGGTGTGAAGACAAGGTTAACGTCACCATGCTATGAAGAAGATCTTGCTTTTCTGGCAGTTCTCGTCGGTGGTGAAGTCAAAATCAAAGACAGCATAACGACACTCGTTAGGAGGAATAGCAGCAGTGAAATCGTCATAGGTTTCTGTAGGGCTTCCAAGTTTCTCCACAACAACTTCTTGATTCTCGATCTTAAATATAATGAAACGATAGTTCCTCTTTGTTTTTAACTCCAAAAACTTGAGCTTGCACTCATCTCTCACAACCATTCCAGATGCCGCGTTCGCCTAATTCACCCCATAATATAACACGCATTAGTCCATATTTTCACCTTTCATGGTTCATCTAAACTAACAAAAATAACTACAACACAATGACAAACAACGATGATGAAAATAAACGAAGGAGCATACCATATTGTGTATGAATGTGTGAGAGAGGGGAATGGAGGAGAAGAGTGAAAGAAAGAGAGAAGAGAAGAGAAATGTTAGAGATGAAGAGGGAGAGGGAGAGATCCTTATTTTGGGGGGAGAGATGAGATGAGATGAGATTAAAGAGGAAAAGAGGAGTAATTTGAGGGACAAAACTAAGGTTGAGAATTGTTTTGAATGCCTAATATTGTGTTCTCCACATTTTTCTATGCCACCTTTCATGCTAAAACACAACAACATTCTTCCTTCCTGTCCTATCAACACTTTTCCCCAAAAAAAGACTTTCTTTTTTAAGAAATGAAACAATTTCATGTTTCATGAAATCTATGATCTATGTTTCATGTTTTTAGTCTGAGGTTGTTTAGTTTAGTTTAATGAAAGAACTCTGACTAAAGTAAACAATAGATACTAGGAGTGGGTTTGAGCTATTACAAATAATATCAATATTTACTAGTGGTGGGTTTGAGCTATTACAAATAGTATCAATATTTACTAGTGGTAGGTTTAAGCTGTTACAAATAGTATCAGAGTCAGATACTGGTTGATGATAGTATCAGAGCCAGATGCTCGCTGATGGCAATATGGTAGTGAGGACACTGGGCTCCCAAGGTTGATGATAGTATAGAGCCAGACGCCGCTTATGGCAATGTGGTAGTGAGGACACTGGGCTCCCAGTGGAGATGGATTGTGAGATCTCACATTGGTTGGGGAGGGAAACTAACTAAGCATTTCTTATAAGGGTTTGAAAACCTCTCCCAAGTTAACGCATTTTAAAACTATGAAGCTCACAACGATACGTAACAAGCTAAATTAGACAATATCTACTAGATGGGCTTGAGCGGAGACATATCCCACAATGACACTAATGATGTAATGTTGTTTTCTGAGTGTAATTCTAGAATGTTTGACAAAAAAATAACACATTTGAATGTCGTTCTTTCAAACTTAATTTAAGTGAGCGTCTAGTCACCATTTCATTGTTTCAAGTCATTGTAATTGATTTCTATTCTAATAATAATTTTGAATGATTACGAAAAATCAAAAGATAATATTACAATTTTTTAAAGAATAGAATATTCGATATAGCTAATTAAATAAAAGTAATGCTATCAAATGAGGCCAGCCCTTTCAGGGACAATATCTCTAATGCATCAGCTGGTAAAGCTTGAACATTGTACAACTCTTAAATCATGATAATATTTAAGAGACAAAAATACATTTAGGGGACTACCTATATTCTCTGCGTCTAAAAGAAAAGGTTTTACAACACACATGAGGTTTAATCTTCCCCATAGACCTATCAATCCATGAATTTCACAACTTTGGGACCCTTTTTATTTCCGAGTTTCGCATCTTTGATCTGTAAATTATCTTCCTCGACCATGAAGTCATCCTCGAGGTCGTCACCACTGACGAGCCTCGTTTCTGGTCGTCTCGACATTTCCACATATCCAGATGCTGAGACAAAAGAAAATGAATTACTACTCACAATACAAAGTTTTAGCACAAATCTGGAGATCCTAAGCATCTTAAGCACAAGTTTACCGATATGAAGAACTCGGTTCCCGAACATTATAATTTTAGATCATTTGTGTCAACAAACATGTCACAGCAGCAAACAGGAAGACTTACATCTGTTACTAGATACACCAGGCCCAGCATAAACTTGGGTGCCTTTTTTTGGACAGTCCTTAGCTAAATGTGTCACTTCCCCACAAGTTTTACAACAACCACCCTGCAGAATATCATACAATGAAATTATTCGAGCTATACGATACAGGAAACTACAGGACAACGTACAGGCGAAGCCAAGAGCCTGGCCCATGACCATAATGTGGAAGTTAAACCAAATACCTTAGGGTAGATCCCATGAGTATTCTTTGGGCAGTTCTTGCTTAAGTGTCCACTTTCATTACAAATAAAGCAATTGGCATATTTAGTTCCCCCTACAGATCCAAGATGGAAAACAGTAGAAAGAGTTAAGGAAAAGAAAAAACCCAAAAGGAATTGTTCTACATATTATGCAAAGCACAGATGAATTTGAGTATGAATTGAAACAAAATTTACCATGTTGAAGAGGTTGTGGACAATTAGCTAGTGAATGTCCTGTTTCACCACAATTATAGCATAACTTCTTATCCACTGTGTCTTCAGTTTTGTCGGGGCAGTTCTTGAGGCTGTGGCCTCGTCTCCGGCAAAGTAAGCATATCTGTGAATGCCAAATAACAGATATGACACTGTTACTAAAACAATTTGGTATAAACGTCAACTATAGATGTAACAGCTCAACTCCATCGCTAACAGATATTATCTTTTGTGGCCTTTCCCTTCTCCTCAAGGTTTTTAAAACGTGTCTACTAGGGAGAGGTTTCCACACCCTTATAAGAAATAGTTCGTTCCCCTCTCCAACCAATGTGGGATCTCACAATCCTTCTCCCTTGAGGGATTAGGGTTCTCGCTGGCACACCGCCCGGTGTCTGGCTCTCTGATACCATTTGTAACAGCTCAAACCTACCACTAACAGATATTGTTCGCTTTGGCTCATTGCATATCCCCATCAGCCTCACGGTTTTTAAGACACGTCTCCTAGGGAGAGGTTTCCACACCCTTATAAGAAATGCTTCATTTCCCTCTTCAACCGATGTGGGATCTCACAATCCATCCTCCTTGGGAGATCAGCATTCTCGTTGGCACTCCGCCTAGTGTCCGACTCTAATACCATTTGTAACAGCCCAACCCCACCGCTAGTAGATATTGTCTGCTTTGGCTCATTGCGTATCATTGTCAGCCTCACGGTTTTTAAAACGCGTCTCCTAGGGAGAGGTTTCCACACCCTTACAAGGAATGCTTCATTCTCCTCTCCAACCGATGTGGGATCTCACAATAGAGCTCTTCTAAATAATCTATGTTATTCTTGATCTCAAGACCTCTAACAACCTATTGCAAGTGATCTTAATTGATGGAGAAACCTAAGCATTGGCATCAACGAGTTAAGAAGTTTGCCCCAAATTGAAGAGGCAAACTGAATCCCAACCAATTTCATAAACACCACATTCCTAACAATACCATGTCTATGAGCAAAATTTCCATAATCTCAGTGAACAGTGAAACACCATAAACAAGAAAGGTAAAACAAGAAATAAAAACCTTGTTCTTCTCCCATTGAGCCTTTTCAGGGCAAAACTTAGCGATGTGGTCTTTAGCTTTGCAGATGAAGCAGCTTTCACCAGGCTTCATCCCAGGAACTCTGAGAGGGTGTTTCTTAAATCCCTTTTTGTGTGGTTTATTCGGGTCGTTCCTTGAATCCGATTCTCCCTTTTTGCGCTTGAATTCACTCTTCTTCTTCTTCTTCTCCGGATCTTTTGGTGGCGTTGGTTCTGCTTTCGGGAACAATTCTGGGTGTTCTTCTCTGTACTTTTTCCGGGCAAGCTTTTGCCTCCGGCTCACCATCTTCACCTGATAATTGGAAGTTTATCGGCTCCGGCGAATTCCCGAAGAGGTTCTTTCAACGAATCTGACGGCGAGGTTTATGCGAATGGGTTTAACTACATGTCGATATCTTTTCTCATTCTAATTGGGCTTCTTTATAAATCAATGCCCCATAACAAGTCCTACTCTCATGGATTTCAATTTTAGATAGAACCCCTAAGTTTAACATTTAATCCTTAAATTTATATTTTAAATTCATATATTTATAAATCCTACGACAATAATTAACATCAAAGTGAATATTGGAGAAATCGACACCACCACTAGCGGGAGGAGTCGACATGAAAGCGAATTCTGAAGCAACTAGCATCGGAGCAAATCTTGGAGCTTGTGAGTGTCGGGTTGACAATCATAGGAGAATCAGAGGATTTTTTTGTTGAGTCCACTACAACATTCGATGTCCTACTCTGTTTCGACGATGTTCTGTAATCGGTTAGTTTTGATCTATGATGTACGACATATGAATGCTTCATTATTATGTTTATATAAAAATTTATATGTAATTGTTTACTACTAATTATTCATTATTATTATGTTTATATAATTTAATATTATTTATTATAAATTTTAGAAGAAAAGTTTCCCAAATTTTGTTCGGAAACAATAACTTGGAGGCTATGTACGACAATTTAAATTAGTAAAGATGGAAATTAAAAAACAAAAAGTAAATGAGTAAAATATAATATGGGCCGGCTGACGTAAGCCCATTGGGCTCAACCCTCGTACAAGGAATATTTGGGCTAAGCCCATTACCCATCTTAGTAACCGGACAGATGGGCTGTGTCAGATCCGACCCGGAGCCGGTCAGGTTCTTGCCCTCTTACAAATTTAATCTCTAAATAAACTTCATTAATTTTAAAAAATAAATAATAAAATATAAATTTCTAAACTTTAAAAGATATTCTTAAATAAATCTTTTAACTTCCTTTATGCAAACAAATTTGTGATATATTTTAGAATTTTAAAAGATAATCTATCTATTAAAATACTAAATTTTGTATTTTTTATTAAGTTAATAAAATTTTCTGTAAAAAAAATATTGAATGGGTGGATGATACATTAAACACAATTTTTAAAATCTACTAAATTATTGAATATAAAATTAAATTATAATTTAATAGGTATATTTTTCAAACTTAATATTTAAAATTTCTCTAAATAAATTTTTTAAATTTGTATCTAATAAATTTATTAAAAAAATTGATGACTCTGATGAGTTAAATCTTGCATACCTGAAGAATTCATCGTATAAACAACAAATTCTTAAGAGATCGCACGATCCAATAAACGATCGGGAATCGACTTGAACGTGGTTAATGGAGTGAGACAAAAAGAACCTTGGATCTAATAAACGAATATTAGTAGTACATGTTTTAGAGCTACTAATGGAAGATTCCTAAGAGATCGCATGATCCAATAAACAATCGAGAATCAACTTCGACCTCGTCAATGAGGCGAAACGAGCCAAAACGAGACGAACGTTGGATCAATGCGATCCCTTTGGAACTCTCCACGGGCACCAAAATTCACACTCTCAAAAAAAAAAAATGGAAAAAAGAGGAAGAAAAGATCATATTAGAGAGGTAGCTATAAAATATCTGAATGAGCATAGGGTTTCTATTTAGTTATTTATAGAAGAAGAGCTTGGCAAGTGGGCTTGTTTTTGTGTCCCACTTCCTACCTTGTATCAGTTATTCCTTGTGCTCATGTTTTAAGCGTGGGTACGGTTTAGTCTAATTTTACAATTAATAAATTACGGTATGTTCGGGAGTGTTTGAAAGGATACAAATCATCTAAAAACGCTTTTAACTTATCTTTATATATATATATATATATATATTTAAAATTTCAACAATTAAACACAAGGGTAAAAATTTGCATCTTAACACTTGATCTAAACTTATTATATAATTTAAGACCATAAATGAACTATATTCTAAAACATGAGCTATTTTTGTTGTGAAGAATCCAACGACCTTTGAACGGGTTGATCAAAAGCTTCAATCATCTTCGACTTTTCAGACATGGCGGGCAACGAGAAGGGGACGTGTGTGGTCCATGGCATTGAAGTTTGGTTAATGAAAAATTGAAGTTGGATAGTTATAATGGGGACAGAAAATAAAAGACCCAAGATGATGTTAGTAAAGGCTGATAAAAGTTATAATCAAACAGCTAATATTGATGGGAAGAAACTTAGCAATTAGTCCAATTCAGAAAATGACATATTCCTATTCCTCTTACCATCTCCCGTTTCTAAACCCTAAATTTAAAACTCTCATTGATTTTGCATCTTAAAAAACGGGAGTTTAGTTTGTTTTGAAATGTTACAGGAAATAAACTCTCGTACCTCTGCTTTTGCTTTTGTCAGATGATTTGTACCAACAAAAATGGTTACCCATATAGCTTTTCATCTAGAAAATTTTAGGTAAATTATTGAAAATTGTGTTATAAATTAAGATACATTCAGTAACTCAATTGGTTGAGGTATACATCGTGAGATCCCACGAGAGGAGAACAAAATATTTTTACAAGGTGGAAATTAAAAAAAGAAAAAAAACCGAAATAAAATAATAATAATATTTTTATTAGTTTAGTTTTTTTTAAGACCTATTTGATCAAAAAAAATTATTATTAAAAAAAAAAAAAAAAAAAA